ATAGCTCGCCCGCCTGACAACAGCCGTTAGGAGACCCTCCCACAGCAGTAGAGTGAGACCCTCCCACAGCAGTAGAGTGAGCACAAACAATCAGGAGACCCTCCCACAGCAGTAGAGTGAGCACAAACAATCAGGAGACCCTCCCACAGCAGTAGAGTGAGCACAAACAATCAGGAGACCCTCCCACAGCAGTAGAGTGAGCACAAACAATCAGGGGGGTTGCGAGGTAGGGGGGGCAAGGGGGGAGGGGAGGTGACCTTGAAGGCTTCATTGCCCAGCTCCTTGATGGTCTTGGCAGCCTCGTGGTAGTTGCAGTCTGCGAGGAATGAGAACCACCACCACCACCACCAGCAGCAGCAGCAGCAGCAAGAGAAGGAGCAGCAGCAGCAGCAGCAGCAAGAGAAGGAGCAGCAGCAGCAGCAGCAGCAAGAGAAGGAGCAGCGGGAGCTGTTCATCACCTGGTGGAGCATCGGCAGGGAAGTCGGGAAACCTAAGAGAAACTCAGCAGCTTGTTGGAGCGAGAGGAGGGAGGGGGGAGGAGAGAGCAGGGAGGAGAGAGCAGGGAGGAGAGAGGAGGGAGAGAGAAAGGAAACTTACGAGTCTTTGGGGTCGGCAAAGGGATCATAAAAACCATCGTCGGCATTCTCTGAGATTTCACCGCAGTCGCGAATCTAGGAAGAGAGGAGGAGAGCAGGTGTCAGGCAACGAGCGCTGAACTTTCTCTTCTCACCTTCACTTCCTTGATAGGACGATCTCCCTCAGTCTGAGCTCGTCAGCTACTGCAGCAGCCCAGCACTCCCTCACCTCCACTGCCTCCATTCTTCGCACGATATTCATCCCCTTCATCACTGACGCACCGAAAGCTCGTCAGCCCCAACCATCCCAGCAGGCACTCGCCTCCACTACCACCTCTCCTCGTCCTCCTCCACCACCTGGCCCTGCCTCTTCCACTCCTCACCCTCTTACTCCCTCCCCTTCCTCCCTCCCTCCTCGGCTCATTTTGCTCCTTCACGTGCATCTCACCTTTACCAAAAACAACATGCTTGCCGTCGAGGTGAGGCGTCTCAACCTGTCGATCATCATCAGCTCCTCATCCAAACACTTCCCCACTCCTCCTCCCTCCCTCCCTCCCTCCCTCCCTCCCTCCCTCCCTCCCTCCCTCCCTTCTTCGTCCCCCGCCTCGCAGCAGCAGCTCACCGTGGTGATGAAGAATTGACTGCCGTTGGTGCCTGGCCCAGCGTTGGCCATGGAGAGAAGACCTGGAAGTCCATCGGAGAGGAGGGAGGGAGAGAAGGAGGAGGGCGGCGAGGGGGAGACAGAGAGAGGCGTCAGCACAAATATGGAAAAACCATTTCCATCCCCCTCATCGCCCTGCCCCTCTCCCTGTCGCTCTTCAATCCCTTCTCTTGTCTCTACCTGGCATGTTATGCTTGTGCATGAAGTTCTCATCCTCGAACTTCTCGCCGTAGATCGATTCCCCTCCCGTCCCATCCCCCTTGGTGAAATCTCCTCCCTGCCACCACATCACGAGCAGGAGGAGACGCTGCGGCTGCTCGCCTGGCACATGAAGTTTGGGATGATGCGGTGGAAGGTGCTGCCCTTGTAGTGCAGCGCCACGTCCTTGCTGCTGGCCTGCAGCTCCTGTCACCCAGCGCCTCCTCTCTTTCCCTGGTCCTCACCTGCCCCTTCTCGCCTGTGCATAGAGCTCGAAAGTTCTCACAGGTCTTGGGACAATCCTCGCTCCAGAGCTCGAACACGATCCGCCCGGCGTCCTCCCCTCCTATGGACATGTCGAAGAACGTTCTCTTGGGCATCTTTCTGCCACAGATGCTCAGCTTCCCTTGCTTCATTCACGCTCGCCACCAGTCACTTATGGTGAGCAGACAGCTGCTTTTCACGTGATCTAATCATCATGTTTCTGCTCCTTCTTCCTGTCAACTGCCCTCCTCGTTTCCCGTGTCTCCAACTTTCGCTTCTACATCTCTCCTCTCCTCTCCAGGATCGATTCATCTCCTTTCCGTCTCCTTCAAACCTTCGCAACTGCGACTCATACTTGCTCTTCCTTCCCCTTTCCCTTCCTTCCAAACCTCCTCCTCCTCCTCCTCCTCCTCCTCCTCTTTCCCTGCCACCCCTCGCTCCCCCATGCCTTATTACTGACTGTATTGACTAAAACCTAACCACCTACCCCTCATCCAGGGAGTCTATACCCTCCGTACCGGTGGTTTTCACATCTAGCACCCTACCCACTCCCACCCAAACCTTTCACTTCGATGAGTACCCCTGCTCCTGTCAACACTCCACCCCCTACCTTCTAGTTCAACGTCTACTACCCCACCCTATCCCGCTCTCCTCGTGGAACTTCTAGTTCAACCAAGGTAACTAAACTTTTACCTCGCATGTATCCTCAAGGATACTGTCAGAGTATCCTCAGGGATACCTCCCCTCAGTCACCGGGCCCGAAACTCACGGCCGGGATCCAAGCCGGCCTCGGAGTCAGTGAGTCATCACTAGGATTGAATGGGTGGGTAGTCAAATTATCGGGAGTAGGTAGGGTACTGCCTGGTTTAGGAACATATTGGGTACTTGAAGGCATAATAAGGGGTGAAGTGAAAATTCAGGATTGGAAGGGTGGGTGATCATGAGAATTCATGGGTGGGTGGGGTAGTATGGCTGAAGGGCAATCATGGCGGGATGTGAGGTGAAGGAGGAAGCGAAGGAAGGGAAGGGAGAAGAGACAGCAGAAGTCAGATGCGCAGAAGATGAGGACATGAAGAGACGAAGAGGAGAGAGAAGATGAGAGAGGAGAGGAGACAAGGAGAGAGGAAACGAGAAGAGAGGAAACGAGAGAGGAGAGGAGAGGAGAGGAGAGGAGAGGAGAGGAGAGGAGAGGAGAGGAGAGGAGAGGAGAGGAGAGGAGAGGAGAGGAGAGGAGAGGAGAGGAGAGGAGAGGAGAGGAGAGGAGAGGAGAGGAGAGAGGAGGTACTATACATGCCTAAAGAGCGGAGATAGGGGGTCGAGAAACAAACGATATGAGACGAGGCGGAGGGAAGCGATCGAACGAGGACATGGGATCATAAGAGCATGGGATGTATAAGCTCATATTGCTGCTGTCATTAACCCGAACAGCGGGCATGTCCCACCTGTCTGTCAGATACCTGAGGTGTGATGCTGGTTTTGATCTGACCAGACTCCTCGCAGAAGAGAAGCCGAGACGTGTTGATCATCACATACCCGAAGCTTGTAGCATGAAGACTTGATCAGCCATGAAGATTGCTTGCGATGTTTACATAGAACCCATCGCTCCCAAGAGCCCGGCGAGTCAGGACCACAAGCCGCTGGTCCTGACAGCCACCCACGTCTCGGTTGATCGCAACGACTCGCGGGACATCTGCGTCTTCATCGAGACGGACGGGGGGGGAGGGAGGAGCCTCGCGTGTAAGGTGGAGGATCTGAGCGACCTGGACTCCAAGAAGCTGCCGGAGGGATGCCTGGGCCTGCGCTTCTCCTCCCCTCCCGTGCAGGTCATGCTCTTCAACGCGCGCGCCATCCTGCTGCAGGACTTGCTCAGGCTCCTGAAGAAGCTGACCGAGAAGCGCCGGGTGGGGTCCAGCCTCAGGTTTCGCTTCACCCCCCTCGAGGTCCTCCAAGCTGATCGCGACAAGACCGGCATAGCGGGGGAGCCGCGCGGTGCCGCGAGGCTGATGCAGGGCAGAGACGCCTCGCAGAGCTCGCGGCCGGAGATGACTCTGTCCTCGGAGCACAGCATGCATGAGCCACCGTACCTGGAGGACCTGAGCCGCTACGAGAAGACGGAGCCGTTCAAGGTTCACCTGGAGGTATGAGGCGAGCGCTGCGAGCTTGAGCTGACTGCGATGGGACAGCATGAGATCGAAGGGCTGCGGCAGGCCATGGAGGACGACCTGAGAGGTCGGTCGCAGCTGCAGGAGAAGATTTCGCGTCTGGAGCGAGAGAACCTGTACTTGACTAACCAGCTCAAGATGGAGCAGAGCTTGCAGTCAGAGCTGAAGCAAACAGCGTCAGGTGCGCAGGCGAAGGTGAAGGAGGTGGAGCAGAAGCTGAAGGAGAAGATGAGCGAACTGCAGCTGAGGACGGAGGAGCTCATGGAGGCGCGCAGCGGGCACGAGCAGATGATCGACACGGAGATGAAGCGACTTGCTCTCGTGGACTCGCGGCTGAACCAGTCGGGCCGGCGGCTGAAGGCGCTGAAGAAGCAGCTGGGGATGCTGCTGCTGCTGCGACGACAAGAGCGGATGGCGGAGCGAGCGATCAGGTCGCTCAAGGTCCGCGCGCTGCTCAAGAGGGGGAGGCGGAGGCTGCTGCGAGTGGTTCACGAGAGGTCTGTTCGGGTCCTGCTGGGGAAGCCGCTGGTGTGCTGGCAGATGAGAGCTCAACGCATGGCGACCCTCCGCGTCTTCCTCCCGGCAGCGGCGGAGCGACGGAGGCGGAAGCTGATGACGTCATGCCTGTCGGGGTGGAAGCGAGGCTGCTGGAGCCTTCGCGGGCTGAGGGTGGAGGAGGAGGTGAGGGCAGCAAGGAGCATGTTCGAGCAGCAGGAGAAGGAGCTCAAGTCGCAGCTCAAGGACGCGAGGGAGATGATCGACGACCTGCGGGAGGAGCTGGCCCGGAAGGACTCGCTGACGTACAAGCAGGCGTGCGCGTCGGAGCAGGAGATCCTCTCGCTGCAGGAGTCGCTGAGGAGGCAGCAGGACGAGTCGGCCAGGCTGCACACGGACAACGAGGAGAAGGCGAAGCAGCTGAGAATAGCTGAGAACGCGGAGAAGACCGGGAGGGTGGTGCTGGAGGAGAAGGAAGAGGAGCTGGTGAAGCTGCGAGAGCGAGTGAGGGCTGCTGAGGAAGCCTATGACAGAGTTCGTGCGAAGCTGCAGGAGGAGCTCAATGACAAGAGGGACCTGGAAGACGTCTTGTCTCGCAGGGACCTCATGGCCGGCGATCGCCACCAGCACGTCCAGCACCTCGAGGGCACCGTCGCGGACCTGGAGCAGCAGTGCCAACGGCTGCTCCAGCAGGTGCAGGCAGAGGAGGCGGCGCGGTACAAGGCAGAGGAGATGCGAATGAGGATGCAGGAAAGACTGGAGGCGTTTGAGCAGGGGGAGAGCTTCTCTCACGACAGCCTGCGCGTGCAGCATGCCGACACTCAGAACGCGCTGGAACGAGAGCGAGCGAGGAGCGAAGAGCTGGAGGACGCTCTGAGCAAGCTGGTGGAGGCGTTCAAGGAAGGGAAGCGGCAGGAGAGGATGAAGTTGATCCAGGCAGGGCAGTACGTCCGGCTCCTCTCCTCCTTCTTCTCCTGGCGAAGATGCGCAGACCAGCAGACGATCATCAGTCTCTCGGCCCCCAGCGGCTTCGGGGAGGCGCGTCAAACCCCCGACCTGTCGCAGGAGCTGCTGGACCTCAAGCACAGGAACGCGTCTCTGCAAGCTATGCTTGCCGAGGCTAAGGCGGGAGGGGAGGAGGAGAGGAGGAGGAGGGAGGAGCTGGAGCGGCAGGTTATGTCGCTCAAAGAGACATACCTGCAGGGCGTGAAGGCGAGCGTGCAATCTATCCGCTTGTGTCGCGATCGCTACCTGCCTGCCAACGGCCAGTCGAAGCAGTGAGGGATGAGGGCGAGGGCGAGGGAGGAGGGGGGGGATTGGTGGAGTTTTATCCTACATAAAGGAGTAGCTTTGCAGCCAGCAGGCCCGTCAGGAGGAGGAGCGTGAAGTCCCTCGCAGCCCTCGGGGCCTCGTTGACGCAGCTCGAGCAGACGCTCACGCAGTCTCTGTTGACGGCGCTGCTGTCCTGTCCTGAGTTCCCCCACGCTTTAGACTTCCCTCCCCAGCAGACGACCTGCTGGTCGTAGAGGCTGATGGCGCAGGAGTGCTGCCAGCCCACAGAGACAGAGGTGACGAACTCGCGAGCCTGCGGTGGTACTGCGAGCTGCTCGTTGAAGTTTGACCCCCAGCACACCGCCACCGCCCCCGTGTCCTTGGAGCCTGCAAAGGATCAGCAGGCGAGCAGCTGGGAAAGGCCGCGGGCCCTTACCCTGAGTGGCGAGCAAGGTGCGGCCCGAGGGCAGGAAGATGGCGCACGTGTGGGAGGCGCCGCAAGCGACGTCGATGAAGCTTCCTCCTTGAGCGAGCAAAGACTGCGAAGGGTTGGAAGCGTTGCTGACCGTGACAAGGTCCTTCTGACTCATCGCCTGCCTGTACTGGTTGTTGCCCCAGCATAGCATCTCCCCTCCTGTTGTGATGCCGCAGCTGCCAACATGTGAGGCCAAGACATGAGGGAGGGGGAGGAGGAGGAGGAGGAGGAGGAGAGAACACCTGTGGTACGCTCCCGCAGACACTTTCTTGAACTTGAGGCCCTCGGGAGCTCGCGACTGACCGTATTCGTCGGATCCCCAGCAGACGATGCGATGCAGGGCCGTGAGCGCGCAGGTGTGGAACATGCCGGCTGAGACTTGAAGCCACACCAGAGGAGGAGAACCGTCCGGGCAGACCAGCCTCGAGCTGCCGTCCAGCTGCTCCACAGCTGGGGTGACGGTGAGGTTGGGAGGGCACGAGGGCACGAGGCTCTGGTTGTGCGAGTTTGACCCGTAGCAGCGCAGAAAGCCGGAGTTGCAGTTGGTGCAGCCGGCGGAGCCGTAGAGCACGCACGTGTGATGGCAGCCCGCGCTGATGGCGAGGGGAAGGCACATGAACTGACCGTCCAGGCGGAAGCGAAGGCCCGTGAGAGAGGTCGAGGAGACGTTGGTGGGGGTGTAGGACTGGATCAAGCCGGGGGAGTCAGAGAGGATGCAGTCGAAGAAGCAGAGGGGCGGGTAGACGTCGCTTCCTGTGGGGGTCTTGACGACGCAGTAGCGGTAGTTCTTGCTAAGAGGATCGCTGTCGAACTCTCCAAGCTTGCAGTACACGCATGCCTTGCTTTTCACCGGCTTGGGCAGGTCCAGCTGCCCGTATACGTTCGACCCCCAGCACTTGGCCGTCTCCTCCTTGTTGGCGGCGCAAGAGTGACGGGCCCCTGCTGCCACCAGCACCACGTCGCTCAAGCCCGCAGGGGTCAGGCACTGCCCGAACTCCTGCCAACCCCAGCACGCGATGGGTCGCTGCCCTGAAGTAGGAGCAGTGGAGTTGGAGGAGGTGGCGCAGGTGTGGAAGTAGCCGGCAGCAAGGAGCGAGCTAGTGGGCTGCTGGTCGGAGGAGCAGTAGTTGGTCTTGTACAGGAGAGGACAAGAGAGCGGGAGCGACCCAAGAAGCAGGAGGAACCGAAGAGTCTTCATCCTGCTGCTAGAGCCGTCAAGTAGCTCCTAGCTGCTCACTTTCTCCTCTCCGAGCTTGCATTTGCCTTCAACTCTAATGTCAGACGCCGCTGTGTCCAAACCGATCCTCCTCTCCTCACCCCTCCCCTCCCCTCCCCTCCTGTTCCCTCTCCACTTGTTATTTCTTCCCGTCATGATCAGCGACCTCTGATGAATATTGCAACTTGCTCGCACTTGGTTCTTTCATCCGATCATAGTTCACATTATCTCCTACACCATTTCAACACTCCCCTTCCTCCGCACTCCTCCAGCTCCTTCCCAATGCTGGCGTTCATCAATCTCTCCCCTCCCCTCCCCT